TGTAAACATTTTCTGTTTGACAAATTTATCAATCTTGTTTAATTTTCAGGTAAAATAAGAACTTTTTCGATGATCAGATGAAGAAAAATGTATAAAAACACGTTTTTTTATGAAAATAAAATAAATAAAAATTGTGTATATAATCTTTAACTACATATTATTGCAGAGCACTGAAAAATGAATAGGTTTGAAATTTAAACTTTTGCCGTATCTATTTTGGTTTCGAAGATATCAGCGAAAAACGAAAAAACCACCGATTTTGAGGAATTAATTTCACCCCTTAAATATGCAAGTGAGCAGCTCATTTTTTGTAAGGGTTTATACTTTGATGTGAACTACAAAACGTAATTTTTTCGACCCAGGTTTTGGGGGTACAGGAAGGTGACCTTCCTTGTTAGAAAAATGTATCCTCGCGGTGGTCAGGATAATTCATAATAACGTTATCTGAAATCAAAAAACCAAATATTTTCTGTTGGTAGATGAGTATAACTCGTGATTGAATGAAGGATGTAAATATGCAAGTGGGCAGTTAATTTTTTGTGAGGGTTTATACTTTGATGTGAACTACAAAACGTAATTTTTTCGACCCAGGTTTTGGGGGTACAGGAAGGTGACCTTCCTTGTTAGAAAAATGTATCCTCGCGGTGGTCAGGATAATTCATAATAACGTTATCTGAAATCAAAAAACCAAATATTTTCTGTTGGTAGATGAGTATAACTCGTGATTGAATGAAGGATTTTTAAAAATAATAGAAATTTGAATTTTTAGCAGGCCTGTATGCAAAAAAGTACAATTTTCGATACAATTATGTCGATGTATGTAGATGAATATACACCACGTATTGCCTCGAAAAATAAGTTGTTATCAAAAAAAAACCTTCGTTCAATCACGAGCTATACTCACCCTTAAGGTCCACTTTACAATTTTCGAAGAAACGATTTTACTTTACTTATTTCTCTTATAAATTATCTCAAAAATGTATGTGTACAATTTCGAAGTCGAATTCGAAACCAATAAAAAGTTATAGATATATAAAGGTTATATTATATATTCCCTTCTTTTAAAATACCGGCTTTTTTGTATACTAATAATAATTCCGGACCACGTGTACGTCCTCAGTACAGTATTTGTTGTTTTTGAAAACGTTTGCGTATCAATTTCGTTAAAATAGGTTATAATAAAGGTTTTAAAAAAACAAAACACTGAAAAAGAAGAAGCTTCAAAACTTTGCATGAATTCCGTGATAATCAGTAACCGCGTTTATCTCGAAATGCCATTTTTTTAAATGCCCGAATGATTATCTCTGGTTCTACTCATCTGATTTTGATAACGTTCGTTGCGTTTTGTTCGTTATGTTGGCTACCGGAACCTACAACAGATTTTCCTAAAAAACTCTTTACCAAAATTTGTGCGAACAAAATTAGCAAAAAAGGCTTTTTTCAACTTTTTTTTTCGAACGCTCATAACAAATTTTTCTTCTCGATTGTGAAATAATTGTCGTAGATTCCGGTGGGAGAAGATTTAATCTTTCAGATGCCGTTTGATTTTTTCATTTCTGATTTTCCCGTTCGGATATAAACTGTCGGCCATGAAACCCTCTCTTTTTTAGGACTCAACTTCGGTGCTCTCTACAAATTGGACAAAAAGTAAAAATTGAAAAAAACTAATTTTTCTCTATTTTTGAATGATTAAATAATATTTAACAACAAATTTTGTATCATTATCTACTATAGAAGCTCCAAAAAAAATAGTGAAAATTGGCGCTTCTGGAGTGGACATATACCTTAATATCTACAGCAAATGCTGAATGTCTCGTTAGATAAAACAGTTTTACAATCACATTCTTATTTCAGGAATGTGTATTGTAATTAGAAAAATGTAGATTCTTAATACAGAAATCACTAAACGTAGAAAAATCTGTCCTATATAAATATTAAAAAATTACTCATACTCAAGATTCATTCACTCTAATAAACTTTACATATTTTCTTGATATTTCGCAAAGGCACATTCACGAGAAGCAAATTGCATTGTATTTACCAAATGTATATTGTATAAGATATTCGAATGAATCGTTTGAGTTCAAGTATCATGTTTTGAATACTTCATATGAGATAACATACGTACGTATACAACTTATAGTTTTAAAATTAGGAGCAGACCGACGAGATTGATTCTTGCATTATATAATATATTTATGTGAAACTACAAGGAAATGACTTAGATCGCTCCTTTTCCAATTCTCAGTCTAGTTATATGCAACTTATTAACCTCTCTCTATGTATGTATACGCGCAGAAAAAAGTCATGTCAATAGTAGTATGTATGACGCAAATATGCACATTTAAGAAAAACTTTTTACACTCTTGCAATGTTCATAAAAATTTGTATCCTGGGAGTTTTGAGGTTGCTGAATCCAAATATCGTACTATAATTTCGTATTTCTGATATCTATAAAAACCATAGAAGATTAAGTTTTATAAAAATCCGACGTTTTTTTAATTTCAGTCCGCCATTTTGTATCCGCCATTTTAAATTTTGAAATTCTGATGCTATATTTGGAGTTAGCGACTTTGGAAGTCTTAATACCAAAATCAGAATGTGAATCGAAAAAAAATTTTTTTCACATGCTGGTGGCATCGAAATGTTATCTTCGTCACACAGCGTAGGGGTTAATAGCATGACAGTACTTAATTCTTTTTAACAATTTTTTTAGCTAACAGGGATAGCTAGGGAGGTAGTATAATAAGATAATTACAAATCTCACGAAAAGAACCAGTTCAATTAACTTATACAGAAACACGTCGTGGTTCATTTTCTGATGATTTTCATATGAAATTGTCACCGTATTTCTTGAGAACTGTATTCCTTGCACGTGACCGTTCAGTGACAATAGATACACTTGTCACTATTCTATTTTACTTGAGGCATTTTTCTCACCAAGTGAAAGTATTTGACGGGCAGGAATGCTCGAATCTCATTTCGGACTACGTTTGCCGAACAAAATATTGATAAAGCTTATGGCGAAGCCGGATACGACATAGTATCCAGCACAACGTTTATTAAATATTTTCAGCAACGCTTAAAACGTGAATACAAAGAAATACGTGCCTATATATATGTAACATATTTTGTGGTAGCCGGTATTTGATTTAATCTATAAATTTTACAGAAAGTAGAAAAACGTGAAGATGAAAATAAAACCTAAATAATCGCGAAGCAGAAATTTGGTTGGACGGAAAGGTCAACCTCAAGAAGCGAATAATAAATGACATTCGAAAGATGTAGCGTGGGTACAGAATACAGTTTTTATCTCATTAAAGCGATTGCGAAAGAACTGGAATTATGAGATTGATTTAAATTTTTTTTGCCTAGCCATCTTACCATCATGTTTATTGATATTCTTTTGCTTGGTATATAAATCAAGACGTCCTCCTTGACTCATGTTATTCTTCTACTACGTTAATTATTCCTTCTCCATTTGTTTTTCCATTTCTTCAATGTATTATTCACTTCAAACAAATGTCTTATGGTATTCGATTATAAGGCAGTGTTCTACTGTGGACACCGGTTTTCAAGGTGATTTTTCCGGAATTAAAATTTATAAAACTGGTTAAACCTACATTGTTAGTGTTTCACAGATATATTTATTCATATTTGAAATGACATCTTACATTTCTTCAAAGTATTTTATTATAAATTGTATAAAGTATACATGGATGCGCCAGTCATTTTTTGCAGGTTGCGTAATATCTTTTAATCCTGCGTGGTAAATAAATTAATATTTTTTATTTCATTCCCTACAAAAGTGGTTATCTTTCGGCCCTTGAATAAATGGTTTAAGGGAAAATTGACAAAATAGAGGCCCTTGAATGAGAGTACTCTGATTTTTACAATAAAAATTTCACTTTTCGCGACCTAGAAAAATAGTTATTTTAAAGAAATCAAAAAGTTGGAGGACCGACTGATAGCCTGATATGTACTCTAATATGTGTGCAAAATTAGAAATCGATCGGTCCTGTAGTTTCTAAGACAAATATACATCCGATTTAAAACGCGTTTAAAGTTTTTCATGCAGTTCCAAGGTGGATAAGGAATAATTTTAGTAACTTACCTTTAGCCAGCTATGTGAATTCGAATTTGAATTTGAGAATTGGAAGGACACATTTTCGAGGCCTCAAACAATAAGAATATCCAAAAAAATCGATTTTTTTTAACGTCCACTACTAAAGGATTATTACATGCAATCAATACTGTCAGTAGATGTAAATCTCTTTAAAATTATATAAAATTGAATTATCAGAATCAAAGAATAACGGGAATATTGTCAGTAGAATTTCGAGCGAGAAATGTAAAAAGAGATGCATCGCTAAAAGCGCTCCAGTACTATTTTCTCTAATGGCAAAGTAAACATTGATTTTTCAAAAGGAAAAAAAAACTTGCGGTGTTTTATTCCTATATAGAACAGCTATAAGAAACCAATAGTTATCTGTAAAGTTTTGCCCAAAGTTTAAACCAGTTTCTTGCTAAATACGCTGCTAGTAAAAACTTGCGAGGTACATTGAAGTAATCCCAACACTCTTCCCTAAGCACTGTACTATTCTTGAAGAATTTACCCGAGTTTCTTCATTAAATAGATAAAATGTATACAAATTTATTTTCTTATATTTGCATAGAGCAATGAGAAAACTTAGTTATTATTTGATGACAGTGGTGCATAACAATATGGTAGAATAATTTAATTAAACAGTTATAGTCACCTCTGTACTCTTGAAAAATTCGAAAGAATCCGAAGAATAATATGTGTCACGTGTTAATTGTAGATTCATTTCATTCGGCGTTGTAGAAGGTTTCAGCTTTATATCGACATCGTAGACAGATTATCAAGAACGGCTGGTGAATGGTTGCAAGAGTTTCAATAAAGAAGAGGGATAGAAAGGTAGTCCAGAGGGGAGACGCAATCTATCAGAGTTTCTGCGCTACGACATACAAGTACAACGGCTGTGGCCGTACAAGTTTTCAGTGGTCGCGCGGAATCTTACCGAGGTGAACGTGTTCGCGTTCCTTTCTGCCATTCACAGTGCACAGTTCACCAGCCAGCTTCTTTCCTTGATTTACATCGAGCCTGTTTCCTTCTACTATCGGCAGTTATCAGGATTCTACTGCTTCTGTCTCCTAGAAGGAAATATCAAGCAGCTGTAAAAGTTGTAAAAAGTTGTAACATTGTAACATATAGCTCATTTGGAAATTGGAATTTTCCTTTTTGCTGTTTTTGGTATTTCTTTTTTATTATCATTTAATTGGCTATTGTCTCGAGACGGTTAATATCGTGAAAAGGTAAACAGAATTTTTTTTTTTCGTGATTAATCTACCTAGGATAATAACGAGGCTGTATTTAACACTAGTATTAAACGTTAATATAAGGTTTGGTAGGAAAATATAAAGAGTCTGTAATTTCGTTATTACCTAGTAGTAATAGTAATATATACTTTAGGAGCATATGTGAAGGTTCTTTCCCTTCTCTTGATCATTCATATTAACATATTCGGGCCAATGCCACATGTGTATTTCTTTAGCGAATTACAACATGATTGCGAGCGCTGGAATCCTAAGGCAAAGTAAAGGCAGAGTCAAAAAAGAAACACGATGAAATATTCCAACAAACGTTATGATCGATTCCCAATAAAATACTTATGTAACTGCACAACAGAATAATTCGTGTTCTTAGTGTTAATAGCTCAAGGAAAAAGTATTATCTTTCGAAAGGAAGAAACAACAGCAATTAAAATTTACATCTTAATACGTGATAGAATTCACACAGATTGTACATTACAATTATAGGTATTTTTAAAGATAAGCAAAATATTAGTCAAAAATATTCCTTCAGAATTATATATTAATGAGCTATATACCACAATTGATACCACCTTCGAAAGCAGATGGACCTTCAATAACTTGGATTAACTTTTAAAAGTGAAGCCTTCCGTATTATATTGACGGGATAAAATCAAATAAATGCAAATTCTCGTGTAAACCGGTTACATAGTTAAGGACATGCGAATGTCATTCGCCTGAAATGGTCTCTTTATGTTAATATGATGAAAATATTTCTGCAGTATATCAATTATAAGGCGTTGTATAGAAGCTAGGGATTACAAGTTGCGGTTTTACGTACACGTTCATCACGTGGTCGCGAATCTTGATGTAATCCGAATACAGGCTGTAGAAATCGTTTCGCGCGATTCGAGAGAAGAGAGAAGGTTGTTGGGGAAAAAATGAATAAATAAAATGGTCATACAAAAAGGAAAAGATTTTCACCAAGCGGAAAAAATTATACTCGATGAAGCCAGCAGCAACTAGGTTCCTCGTTTCATTTAATCTTTTTTCGTATCGTTTGGACGTTACCGTTGAAAATGAAAGTACGAGGCACCGCCAAGAGATTCGGCTATTATTAGAAAGTCGGAGCGCGTTCACCTTAATGCGATAATGTAGCGTATTTCTATATTACGATAAGGCATGGAATTTTGAAATGAAATTTAGCATGGAATTTTGAAAATGCTTTTGGCAACCCTTTTTGCCACATATTTTGCTACATTGTTTATTTTATCTCTTCGATATCTACATTTTTCATATACTATGACAACGCAATTTTATTCTGTGATATATTTTTTTGGGTGTGGAATATTATTATGTAGTTCATTAATCACTATGAGCTTAATATTGTTTATGTCACCTGCAGTATTTGATGAAATATTTTCGTTTGTTTGTTTTATAGAAATAATGTAATTGAAGTATATTCATATCGTTTCTTCATTATTTCAATTATTTAGTATTATTTTCATAAGGTACACAGTCGCTACTATGACTTTCTCTGACGGTACAGTTATGCGAAATGGACATGCACTCCAATTTCACATAACTTTGCTATAGAGCAGATTCAGAATTTTCCACGATATTAGTGTTTTTCTGCGTTTCTGTTGCGTTATATAATTTTACTGTGAATGATAATCAGACTATCTGAATTAGTATGAACAGTGACAGGGTTCATCTGTGCTATGTGCACCATTCGCATTTGCTTTTAGGTCCTTTGTCGCACAGTACTTTTAATATGAGATAGTATATATATCTAGTGGATCATTCGTTCGACATTAGGAGATAACTTTAGCGACCCTTGCTGCCGCAAAAAAAAGTAACAGAATTAGAATTAACAGAAAGACAATAAATAGATAGACATAGAAACCATAAGCGTAACATTTAGTGACATTTGCTTAGTTATAGATTGGTGCTTGAATTTATAACTTTGAATTATCATGGTATTGTACTGTTATTCTGTTTCAGATAGCAGAATCTTAAGTTTGCCGCTCTTGCAACTTTCCAAGCTCCCTCTAAAAACATTTTTAATCGACTTTCGATGCAAAAGTACATGTGCCGTGGCGTTTTTCACCCCTCCCCCAATTTAGCCATTTGCTTCGCCCATAACCTAACCCGTTAACTTGTAGACAAAATATACGCATAGACACAGCAAGCTAGTTAGCCGGACATGGACTTGTAATTGGAATCGACACGCGTTACTCTTTTCTTTGCCGTTGATTTAAATAAATACATAAAATAAAAATGTCGGTTCTTCGTGCTGTTGGCGACATTATCGGTTTTCTTTTACTCTCTGCGGTCGCCATTATTCAAGGAATTGTTCGAATGTTCATACCCATGAAATACAAGATGAAAAGCATCGACGGGGAAATTGCCCTTGTTACTGGTGGAGGCGGCGGACTGGGAAGGCTTCTGTCGCTCAGGCTGGCCAACCTGGGTGCAATAGTTGTCGTCTGGGATATCAATGAAAATGGTGAGTTGAATCCTTATAGGTACAGTAAAAAGTTTATATTTTCTCTGCGCATGGCTGTATACTCCGCCCACAAGTAAAATTTGTTACCGGGATACTTTGTTTTATGGTTTTTAATATAATAGTCTTCAGAAACTTACAGTTTATTAGAATACATCGATCAGAGAAATAATCATTTCTCTTGAATATTTTACTTTCTGAAATTTCACTTATATTTTTGAGAGCCCTAATTAATTTTTTTTTACCTTTTTTGGGATTAGATTCTTTTTTAAGTTCAAACCTGCACATAACCTATTACTATTAATGTAAAATTATATCGTCCATGTTTCTTGTCGTATATTCTGTATTATAACTTGTGTACAGCCTAAACTCGGGAATGGTCGTGCGACTTTGTTCTCTATTTGAAAATCATCGAGTTGCGATGTCTGAAACATGCACCTTCAATAATTGATCTAAAAGTGAAGGAGAAATCTAACCCGCAGTGTAAGATGTTAAGAATATGAAAACTTTCGGCTCGGATTTCTCATCCGGTTTTAAATTAATCATTGCGTAACCGGTGTCAAATGATTCATAACTTTGCAGAATATGGCCTACACTCGACTTAGAAAAAAAGTGTCAAAATCCAGCTATATATGTATAATTTGTATGACTAGAAATGCGACATTATCATTCCTGTTCCTGAGTCTCTTTACGCGGTCTTCCTAGGAACCTATAGTCTGTCCACGAGTACGATCTATTATTTTGGCAGATCGAAAACAACGAAGTCTCTAGCAAGTTATAAGTATGACTGTATACAAGTTTTGTCATTAGATACGCATATATGCGTGATTTTGCCCTAAATATATTTTATTTTTATTTTTAGCGGATATTTAGGTATATTTTATGAAAAACCCCGCGTAATTACTAAGGATTGCGATCCTTGCGAACTGCCAAAAACACATTGAACTCGTGGACTGACTACATGTTGAACGAGTTGGAAGGCTCGAGAAAGAAGATCCTTATTTCTCCGATTGGATTGAATGCTCAATCACAGATATGGTTTACTAAGTATTTAAACTAGTAGTATTTGTCGGATTAAAATGGGATTGCGTGATTGGTCAAATCTTCTATGATTATGATCAATCGGCTCTTTTGTTTAATAAGTTTTCTGACAAATATGACTAGTCGGATTGATCTGAGAACGCTCGAGTGCAGTACATTGATTCGTGAATATCGGAAGGCGGTATTATTTTTCACCGATTAACTATTTCAAAATTGTTTAAAATTATATCTGTGCGCCTTCCTAAGATATTACATTCCTGTAGATTGGATGGCTTGTAAAGCAGTCTCTAGCGCGCTATACTAGCTTTAAAGTTATGCAGGCTTGATGTGAGAAAAACCGATTGAAATACTATATAATTCCCCCCCCCCCCAAACCCA